AGAAGGGACCTTCCTTAAAGGGGGGGGGGGGGGAGTGTTTTCAGATTTGCAAGATTCTGCTACTGTAACCTTACAGTAAAGGTAGCATTAGTACTCATAGTTTTAGTTTCCTGCCTGGACTATCTCAAAGAGCTGACAGGTACCTATGGATTCAGAGGGAAAACACACTAATTACTAGGGAATATGATTAGGGATACTATTGCATTTCTGTCCTGCGTTTCAACTGTGATTGGAGTTTTGACAGCAACCTGTTCACTTTCCTATAAATATTAGCAGTGAATATATGAGTTCTCAATGTATCAGGTGATGCACTGTGAAAGGAGACATTTTTCATGGCAGTCCTTACCAGCCTTGAGATATGCTGAAGATCCATTGAAACAAAGGGGGCTGGATTTCTCCCTGGCCTTTTTTCTTTTTGCAATAAAATAGAAAATGAAATGAGTTTGTCCAATGTCACAACAAAAATCACAACATAGTCAACATACATAATTGGAAGAGACCAGAAGGTATATAAAAGTCAAACGACAGGAAAAAAAAAACATCGTTCCAGATCTGATGGTGTTATAAAAAGAGAGACGGGTGTAGGAATGCCAGCTGGTTTGTAATTTGCTTGTTTTCCCTGAGATGCAACAATATTGTTGTTCTCAGACATTCAGTTAAAATTTACTCCTTTGACAGCAAAAAATAAAAAATGGTGGTGGTGATGGTGGAAACCAGCGTGTTAATGAGAAAGTTTACTGCCAAATAAAAAGCAATGTAACAATACAGTGTGTGTTTCTTTGGGGCTTGGTATTGTCAGAGACTTCAAGTACCTCTGGCTGTAAACATAGCCTCTGTCATGTTTCCAGAGTCAGTAGCCCAACAAGGCCTTGAAGAGTATTCAGAATACAATGATCCTCAATTCACCTCAATTGAGAGGAAGCCCTTATTATTCACATTTGTGCCTTCCCAGCCTGAAAATGTAGGTCTCTGTGATCTGAGAGCTTATGTTCAAGATGATCATCCTTTTGTAGCCTCTCCCATTGTATAGCCATGTAGATGTCTGAGCTTCAGAAAGAGTGAAGGGCCCTTAACGTGTAGAGTCAGCAGCAAACAGGGGGGGAACTCAGGCAGCATCTGGCTTTACCAGCCTACTTAGAAACCCAGTAAATAAATAAATGCTGGAACAACAACTCTCTTCCTGAGTGTTAAGGGCCTTAATACAGGCACGGCACAGATTTTCTTGTTTTTCACTTTGAGTGGGAAATCAATCCCTAGTTGGGTTGTTTGAGGCCTCAATCCTAAAAGTAATGTCTGCTATCTCCATGCTGTCTGGGGAATTCTGGGAATTGAAGTCCACACCTCTTAAAGTTCCTGAGGTTGAGAAACACTGATGTAACACATTAAATGTAGGAGGGAAATGGGTAGAATAAGAACAATAGGAAGTGGTAGGATTGCAACTTCAGCCTTGGAGGGATCCTAATACACTAAGTTCTTGTTATTCCACTGTGTTCTGTGGGAAGATGGGCCTTACCTATCTGCTCCCCCTCTAAACTTTAGAGAAGTAAAGATAGGACAGTTCCATTTTGACCCTGGCAGAACTACTTTCTTCAGGAAAGGATACCTGGAAACAGACTAGGGCTTAAATGTATAAAATAAACAAACAAACAATATCGGGCAGGCACTGTACAAACAAATTCATCCCGAGCATTTAATTTAAAAACATCCCAAGATTTTTAGGTCTGGTAGACTACATATCTACCTGGGGGTGGGGTGGGGGACTGAATTTTCATAGCCTTGGCATCTGGTCTGCCCCCTTTTCTGAATAGTGCTTTGTAGGTCAAAGCTGAATGTTTCTTGCTCTACCCTGCTCACTGTTCTGAACCTCTCACCTTGTTTCTTTTTAAAATTGAGGTCCAGTTGAATGGCCATTATCTTGACTCTATATTGGAAACAGACTATCCTGCTTTGCACGGAAAAGTAAAAAAAAGCACAAATTATACAAGCAGCAAATCAGAAATTGTCTCATTCTCAGCCCTGTAAGGCAAATCGTACACAGCTAGAAGAAAACACTTCTTGTTGCAGCTTTTTATGAAACCTGGCAGGTGGCGCTTTAAATTACACAAGCAGGTAGCCAGTGCCTTGCTCCAAGGCTGATAGAAGAGGACTAGTCATTGCCGGTATTTTGAAAAGTTGAGAGCTATTTGGCTGGTACAGGCATGTTTTAATTTTCTCCAATCTTCATTGGTCCTACTGAAGCCTCTGCTTCCTACTGGGGTTGTTTTATGTATAGCTGGGAAGAGAAAGGCATCCACTGTTTGCTTTCGCCACTGGAATCAGTGGTTTGGAAGTGGGTTAACAAGAATCTCAGGATTTGCATGTAGTCATGGCAATTCTTTAAGTACTCATTAGCTAAAACAATTCTGCAGGCAACTACAACCTTGCAGCAAAGGTTTGTAGTACAGGTAGTCCTCGCTTAACAACCACAATAGGGACCGGAAATTGGTTGTTAAGCGGAGCAGTCGTTACGTGAATCATGTGGTTTCCCCATTGATTTTGCTTGCTGGAAGTTGGCTCGGAAGGTTGTAAATGATGATCATGTGACCCTGGGACGCTGCAACTGTTGAAAGTGCAAGTTAGTTGCCAAGTGCCCAGATCGCAATCACATGACTGCGGGGGTGTTGGGATGGTTGTAACTTCAGGCACCGGTTGTCACTTTTTTTAGCACCGTTGTAACTTTGAATAGTCACTAAACTAATGGTTGATAAGCGAGGACTACCTGTATTTGTGTTGTGCTTTCAGCTCAACAAATAACCCAATACAGTTTGGGCTAGTTTAAGAAAGCCCAAACTCCATCTGGTATAATTTATGAAATTTTTAAGCATTTGCATGATCACTCATTTTACATAATTCACTCTGGTTTTGGCTATCCACAGGGAAAAATCTGTATCAGTATCAGTTATCAAATGCAAATTGATAAAATGCAAAGGTCCCTCCTCTCACCAGTGCAGCCTTTGCTCACAAGGTTTCAAATACATCTGCTTCTTTTAGGTGGTTTATAGGAAATTTAACTGTGTGCCCAGCACTCCCACTTTTGCAGAATGGCTACAATTGAAAGTTGCATCAGCTGGACTTAAACAAGGGAGCTTGGGGGGTTTCACTTTGCCTAGACACAATATCAGGATTTCTGCTCTCCTTTGGATGTGGCATCTTGAGGGATTGTCTTGTTCCACAAGCAGAGAGAAGGTCATTTGGAGGTTCACAGGCAACATACAGGGGCCAGCACACAACCTGCTTACCAAAGGACAGTCCCCTGGCTTTGACACAAAGGGTTCCTTTACTTGCCAACCTCCTTTGAATCAAACTCCTGATGACTTCGTGGCCAGGGCCATGCACTTTTCTTGACAACACTACAACTGTGGTTTGCATTGCCTCCTTCCCTTTCTCCTCCCCAACCCCAGAAAAACAAAAATATCATTTGTGATGACAGTGCTGAACACTGATGCTTTTTAAAATTAATTTTTGGCCACGTGTTCAAATCCTTTATGGAACTGCTGAGTGAGACTGTGAAGAAATGCTCACCTTTGCTCATCTGCCCTCAAATGCATGGCCTCGCTCCACTGCCTTGAACCAAACGGCATGTGTGACATTTTGTGGGGAAGGAAGAGGATGCTTTCCCCTCTGCTGCCTCTTCAATGGCAAATGGGTCAAGGCCCCTGTACCAATTACACTTCAGATAAAGCCTTTTTCTTTGTCAAGACATTGAAAACAAATCATGAGGGTGCCAGCTCTGGAGAAGCAGGAAGTAGCATGGCAGAGAAATGCAATGGAACCAGTTTCTTTCAGGGACTCAAGTATCTCCACTGGGGTTCTTCCAGTAACTCCTGTAAATTTACTCAGTTTACCGAGTACTCAATTTACTGAGTACAATAAACTCAATTTACTGGAGTTACTGGAAGGATCCCAGTGGAGATACTTGAGTCCCTGAAAGAAACTGGCTCCAATGAAAGGCACCCACAGATCAAGTAGGCTGTATATACATATGATGTTGCCTTAGAAAGAATTAGACCTTTGGTCCATCTAGGTTGACCTATCCAATCTGATATCCTGCAGGAATTCAGGGAGACATGCTTGCATCGTAACTGGAGGACAACAGGATGACAGAAAGCAATGCTGCTTGCAATATCTTAACCAAGAGGCCTTTCCTAGTCTAGTGACTTGAAGTCCTTCAGATTGGAGATACTACCAGGGACTAAACCCAAATTCTGTATGTAAACGAATGCAATATTTTGAGGGGGAATCCTGTTACAGTAGTGTGCAGGGAAACCTGCCCATAAAATGAGAAGGATGCAGCCATTTTGCTCCATTTATAGCCTGGTACAAAATTCTAGCTCCAGTACTGGAAATTACAAATTGCATCCTAGGCAAAACAGTGAAAGCCTGACATAGCGTGATTTTAGAATATTGACTCAAATTTGACTTTTTGAATAGCCTACAGCAGTTCCTCCTCATTAAGATAAATCCACCTTGATTCTGGCAAGCTGTTTAATATGCTGTTTGCTTTAAGTTGATTTATTTATGAGCCCCTCCACTGGATTTTAAATACATTTTAATGACTCTATGGTTTGATACGGCATGGTGGTCTTAAGCTTTTGTGAACCACAGTGGTGCATACATATTAGAGTGGTGGGATACAGATGTCAATATAAATAAAAAACCTGTATGTAATTGGCATGAGCAATTTTACTTTGTAGAAGGGATGATTCTTCTTCTCTTGTGTATCTGCAAATGAGAGCGTAAACTTTATCTGTAATGCCAGATATACTCTGAGAGTATCAGGTAAACAACTCAAGGTCAGGCTAATATTGCAGATACTAAAATGGCAAGTTTAATCTTGTACAAGAGGCAATTGTCACTTAACATTAGGCTAAAACGAAAGAAAGCCCCATGCTATTTGTTAAAAATAGCTACAGCTGATATAAAGCAGTCTATGTTGTAGACATAACACCATAGACCTGAAATCCTGAATGTTTCCAGGGCTGTTATTCATTTGCAAATGATAATCAAGAAATGGGATGGTCAAGTTTTTTTTTTTTTTTGCTAGAAGGGCCAACAAAATTCATGGCATGGATTTGAACGTGATACTCAAGAGGAACGCCTCTTTGATATCAAGTGATCTGAATGAACCTTGTTTTGGCAGCTCAAACAATGCTTGTAGTAGGGCCATGGCATTTCCATTCTGCTCTGGCCTTAATGTGCACAGAAAAACCTCGGGTGTTCCTCTCTAAATTGGTCAGTCCAGTCTTTTCACCATATAGGGCCCTTCTAGCCCATAGCCAATCTTCCTGTAGTAATCTCTGGTACCCACACCTGCAAGGAAAAACAAAAAGACAAATCAGTTAAGAAACCAACTACAAAGAAGAATATGCAAATAGCCAGTCTTACTGAAAGATGCTTTGAAACGCATATTCCAAATTACCCCTTTTACATCCTTATTATCAGCAGCAATGCATTAAGTTTACTTTGAAACAATGCAGCACCTGTATGTCTTGCTTGCGACCACTTGCGCATGACACCAAATACATTTTCTTCATCTTGCCTCGTACCTCCGTCCTCAGCTTACTCATTCCCAGTTCCCATGTTACAGAGACCCTCTTTTTCTAGAGTAGCATGTTCTTCTATTTATACCAGGGATGGGAAACCTTGCAGCCCTTGGGCTAATTTCATTCAGTTTGGGGGCTAATTTTCAAAAATCTTATGCAAGCTCAAATTACTGGTAAGAGCATGGTCTGTCCTTTATCGGCAGAGATGTTATAAAGAGGAGAAAGCAGGCATCAGAGAGGCCACCTGCCCCACCCACTTCTAGCAGATTAGCCAAGGGAATGTGGTTCTCGAGGGATGGGTTGCCCACCTCTGACTTAGACCAATCCTCCACTTCAGCTGCAGAGCTTCTGACTTACTCTGTGACTACTCTTTCCACACGATTAGCTAAAATGTTCACAACTATTTTGTGACATCTGCTACATAATAATAGGTATTGCTGACAGTAAAGCGATGTTTTTGTTTGTATTTATGATTATTAATCCTAAGGCATCTTTTTCAGAGGCAGAACTATAACCCAGAGCATATGGTTTACTCAAATGTATCTTGTGGAGACAGAGAGAGGCCATTAACATATCTCCTTCTATTTTGCTGCTGGAAAACACAGTTCTTAATCAGTGATTCAGTGAGTGGTTGGAGGTGCAGAATGGAAACAAGGAAATAGACGTGTGTGAGCTATGATTTTCCTGCAAGATGGCTGCCCTAAATGTCCCCCCCCCTTTTTTTAATAATGTATGGGCTTTATGAAAATCATATCCTTCTTTATATTAGGTTCTTGCCAATCCAGAAGATCAAGTACTAAAATCCTAGATGAAATATACGTAAGATATAAGATTTAGAAGTTTTGAAGCCATACTTTCTTAAATAAGAAAGATGAACGTTTAATCACATCACTTTTACTCCTGACTGATATGTAAGATAACTACATACATACATAACCTGGAACAATATACAGAAACTCTTATTTGCTTACTTGCAAAGGAAAAAATGATGGGGCAATATACTTTTGGTAGACCAGGAACTATTTTATCAGATTGAAATATTATGCTGAGAAATGGGAAATGAAATACAGACAGTACAGATAAGCACCTTATTAATACTGACATTTACAAAACAATTGCTGGCCATCAGCAGACATTAACACATGGAATATGCCAGTCCTATATGGACGCAGAAAGGTATTTCTAACAGATGATGGTATATGTAACACTGGAAGATGGGGAAGTGAGCAAATCCTCTATGTTCTGGGTGATATTATACTGTCCCATAATAACATTGCCACAAACTCTTCCTGTAGAAAAGATCAAGCTGGTATCTAGCTCTTTTGCAATTTCTGGTTCCTGGCTCTTGTTCTCTCTGTTACAAGTTTGTGGTTGCCTCTGGTGAGCGGCTGTTTCTGGCAGTGGCTGGCACTCATAACTAAGCCCAGGGATCCCACCCACTGGCTTTGAAGAGGCAAATGATACAATTTGGGATGGGCTGTCCATCACTTGCGATACTTTGGAATGGTTTTAAATGGGACTTGCAAGTGGCAATAAACAAAACACTATCATTTTCTCTTCAAAGCTGGTCCTGTAATCAATTATTCCCAGATATCTCCCCCCTTTTTTCTTCAGTTTGTTGAGTGAGCATTGTTTGAAACATAGCTGATGTAAATTCTTAAGTCAGTATTAGCAATCTGATGCTTTCTAAATATTTTGGACCATAGCTCCAATGAGCCTCACCCAACCTGGCCAAAAAGTTGGGGTGTGTATGATCAGGACAAAACTATTTTTTTTTAATCAAATGCAATTAGGAGCATCCATGGAGGGGGTTGAAATTGTCAAGAAGGCAGCTGCAACCACATGATAAAAGTCTTGCCTCTTTATGTGCATTTCATACATGATTCACATAAAGGGAGGGAGGGTTCTGATAACAGCTGCCATCTTGACTTTGTTCACCTCCACTGCAGATGCCCCTGAATGCAATTACATTTTATTTAAATTAAACACAGTTCATACACTCCCCTGTAATGGGTACAAGAAATGACCTTGAGGAAGAGCTGCTAGCAAGACAACAGTCAGGTAGAAGAAACCCGAGTCTGTGGCAGAATTGTAACTTGAGAAAGCACCTCAGATGAGCCCCTTCCTCGTTCTCATGAAGATAGAGGGAGGGAGAGAGGGAGGGAGGGGGGAAGCACATTCAGACTTGCAAGATTCTGTTACTATATTGTTGTTTAGTCGTTAAGTCGTGTCCGACTCTTTGTGACCCCATGAACCATATTGCGCCAGGCCTTCCTGTCCTTCACTGCCTCCCTGAGTTTGCTCAGTTTCATGCTCATTGCTTCAGTGATGCTATCTAACCATCTCATCCTCTGCCATCCTCTTCTCCTTTTGCCTTCAATCTTTCCCAGCATCAGGGTCTTCTCCAAAGAGATCTCTCTTCGCATTAGGTGACCAAAGTATCTGAGCTTGAGCTTCATTATCGATCCTTCCAATGAGCAATCAGGGTTGATTTCCTTTAAGATTGACTGGTTTGACCTCCTAGCAGTCCAGGGGACTCTCAAGAGTCTTCTCCAGCACCACAGTTCAAAGGCATCAATTCTTCGGTGCTCAGCCTTCTTTATGGTCCAGCTCTCACAGCCATACATTACTACTGGATCTGTTACTATAACCTTATATTAAAAGTAGTATTAACCTACATGACTTTGGTTTCCTAGTCTGGTCTACCTTGAAGGGTTGACATCTCCATGGATTTAGTATTTTTCCCCTTCTCACACATTACATGTTATTGGTGGTTACTTTTAGAAAGGCTCTGGCAAACTACATCCCAGGCTTTTGGGTGGGTATTTACTGGTATTTATAAAGTTGAAAATGAAGTTCATACAACTAAACAGCCTGTGAATGCTAGAAATAATAATACTGTCTAGAGCTACATGCTTTGTGGATTTTGGGGCAGCAGGCAAAATATGCCTAAGGAGAATCTGTGCAGATTTAATACTGTATAGCATTCAAAGTTCATTCATTAGGTTGCACAGAGATACTTCTGTATCTTTGAGGAGAATCTGAGAACAAGAGATCACTTATGATGAAAAGCTGCCCTTTAGCCTCCTGTAGATTCAACGTTTTCATGAGTTCCTCCTTTGCTACCCCCTTTAATTATGTTAGTGTTTTCTCTTAGGCTGAGTGGCATCATGTGCTCAGTGGCATCATGGGCAGGATGGCTAAGACTAAGTGGTAATTAATGCTTAAGAGTGATAGCAGAAGCAATCCTGTGTTACAACCATCTGGAGGAGTTTGTTACTACTGCTGGTGCACAGTTTGTCTGCAGGAAGTATTACTGGAAGATCAAGTTATTACTGTAATTAATAACTTCAGAGGAAAAAGGCTCCAGGTCACTATAGGATTGTATCCTATGCGGAAGGGGAGCTCCAGTTAAATGCCTATTTAGTTTAGAGCTAGGGAGATTCACGATATTGGATGGAGAATTCAAGCTATTCCTCTTGTGACTGAGAAAGGTGGTAGTCCATGCATTCTTTGTTCTGCAGTGAGGCTAACTGTGTAGAGTATAGCCCGTTATCTTTTGGAGAATTTGGGCCATGGAAGACTGAGTCATCATGCTGGGTTCTGAAACAAAGGTTTCTTTCTTTTCTTGATATTTAGTTTTCTAATCCGGCTTTGTTACCTTTGTTTTGGAGAGAGGAGAAGCAGTCGCCACCAAGCTACTAACATCATTACTGAGTGCTGAAGAGCCCCAGCCCCTCATAAGTCTCAAGCATAGGAGTCACAAAGGTAAGTGGGTTCTGTGACACTATTTTCTCAACTAGAGGTTTTGAAACACAGTTGTTCTTTGTAAAGAACATCTCTTCCTTTGTACCTTAATCAAGTCCTGTAAATCTCAAAATCTTAGATATGCCCCACTATGGGAAGGAATAGTAAATTTTTGTAAGCACCCCATGGAGAATCAGAATACAAGGAAGAAACAGTAACCATGGTGCACAGCCCTGCAAGTTGAGTTCTACATGGTGTGAAGAGGCCTGAATTCCTTGACAGTTAGCAGATCTTCATCTAACATTGTTCTTTCAACTTAGCACCCAAAGAGCTTTAAAGGGACTCAGATAAAAAAAAACAATATTATGGCTGGATTTTAAAATGCTGGCTAGTTAATATAGCAGCCCCGAATGCCTTCCCCAATAACTTCTTTGAAGTGATAAGTGCTGGGCTTGAACAGCTAGGTCTAGGGGCAGCTTGAGAACTGAAATCTGCAGCAAAGAGGCAACTGCAGAGAAGGTCCTTATTCTTGTAGATGACCTCTCTTCATCTGAGAAGGCAGATCCAGTCTGGTGGAACAACTTCCTTGGGGTTTACCAGACTGCACTGTAACCTGAGGTGTAACTAAATTTTCATATTTGTTGCTTACTTTGGGAGGGGGAAGAGAACTTTCTGAATGGCTTGATTGCATCAATTCATCCTGAATGCATATAAGGACACCTTCTCCTTTTCTGCAATAGGAAATGTTTCCACACTCTTGTCACCTGTGTTAATATTCTGTAATCCAGGAATGGAAGAATCAACTTTGCCTTTTTTTATTAGAACTTCAAGATCCATCAACAACAGCCCACAGCAAAGAAATATACGCTCTGACATCAGAGATTTGTTTTGAATACCAGAACTCTCAGGCCACAAAAATCCATTCTGGGTTATTTTAAGTTTTCTTCATTTCAGCAGAGGAGAAAAAAATAGCTATTTGTGGCTGTTGGAGTGAAATATTGGGAGTAAAAAATCCCTATT